CAAAATTGAATACCGAATGCATTTTGAGGGGGATCTAAACGGGGATTTGAGGGTTTTCTTGAAAATCAGTCTACAGGAAATGCAGATCGAATGTTCGATACCTGAATTAGCATAATTTGATGCCTTTTGGAAGATAGCCGATTCTGATCCACTTCTTATCCTCAATAATAAGAAGACTAATTCTCACTGTTGAAATCGATGGTGAAATGGAGAGAATCAGGTGTGTTCTCATGAATATGGATGTCCTTCGAGATTCAACGAGGAAAACACGAAATTAATGCGAAAACCTGAAGGAATGTAAACGGTGCGAAAAAACTGATGGACGTTGAGCTGAGAGGTCATGCGGCAGCTAATAATCTGAACAACAGCGTATCAATTTCACCTAGAAAGGCCTTGTTTTCAAATGGGCTCCGGGTCAATGTCTACAGCTGACAAATAATCAGTGGATGTGTGAAGAATGAACAGCCATCAATTCAATGTGTGTTCCTTTCGAGGTAGTTATATTGGCAGCACGATGTGTACACTTTCCAAACACATCTGTGAACATTAGCTGGCTTCGTTTGTAGAACGATAATGCAATTCAGATAAGATAAGATAAAATAATAGCTTTATTCCAAATCAGTACTTGTGATACAGAATGGAATTCTCAGCATTTTACTACAATATTGCATCCAGTTAGTACATTACCAATAAATAAAGTTCTACATAGATTAAAGTTATCTCAATCAGTTTTGACAACAACATATTAGCATGTCGGTAGCAAAGCCAAAATTTAAACAGAGTGTTTGAAGGTGTTAGAAAAGTAGATACTACTAGCATATTTACTGGCGTAAGCGATAGCAAAATAGTCGAGATATACAGAGTGTAAAAGAACGAACAAGAGTGTTTTAAGTAGAGTTTGTAAGGAAGAGAGAAAAAAAACGGCACATAACAAAAATAAACACAGAAGGAGAAAAAAAAGGTAGAGAGAAAATGTTGTACCTGTAAATGATGTGAGTTGGAAAGACGGGATCCATTTGTTCTACTGACTATTTAATAAGTTAAAGGTTTCACGCCTAATGCTTTCTTTATCGCACAGAACACGAGCTAGGTAGGGTATGGATGATACTACCTGATACTACTTGAAATGTCAAGCACTTGGCGAACTCAAGTCACGTAACTCCGTCATAGTCGTCTTTCAATATTATTTACAATGTGAGGTCAAATAGTACAAAGGCTGTTAGGTTTCGACATTTGCGTTGGCCATTCGCCAGTAAAACAGCAAACTCTGTGTGCAGAAAACGTTTGTCAAGTATCTTAATCGACCGTGGTCTTAACCTCTTCATTAGTTGTTCCTTGTAAATTCATTATTTTTAAAATGATTTACTTGCTTTTACTATTATTAGATTCACCATTGTCACTCTAACATTTTCATTTTGCACGTTTTCTGATCGTCTCCACACCTGTTGAATGGAAACTCATCTACCTTTCTGCTAACCGAATAACAATTTTAACCTTTTCAAATTTCCAACTCTCTCTACCTTGGCACTGTTCAGTATCATGCAATCAATCGTTTGTTTTTTAGTTTTGAAGTCATTTCTAAGTACGTTTATCGATTACGTCACCCATATTACACTATAATGGACTACTGTACATTCTCGGTAAATGCAATTAGGACTCTGCATCAGCAGAAGATTGCTTCGTCGATAAGGAAAACTTTCCTGACTGAATTGTTATATACTATTCACAGGAGTGAACACTGCACTTACTCTTCAGTTTCATCCACATCCAGCAGGAATTGTGGAAAAAGAACGATTTCTTGTATATGAGAGAATATTCGATCTACAGTGAAAACAAGAATACTGTTTTCTTCATTTTATCATTTTCTAAGGCCAGTCAACTCAGCTAGAAATCATCAAAGATAAACTACGGAGGACTGAAGGTAAGATGACTGACTTCATGTGGATACATAATAATACTGTTCTTATATTAACCTACACAAGCTTTTGTGTACATATTGTTCCTCGATGTTTTGTCACATTCTGTCGCTTACAATAATCCGTCTCTTGTGCTTATGCTAAATGATTCTCACTTTCGCCTTCATAGGTGTTGAACAGAAATATGCTGATTTGGTTCTCGAAAAAGAAGCCAAGATTTTTCAATATGCATGTAAACAATTATTTCATGTGCATGATATGATGACTTGGTTAACTTGATTTCTGCATTTCGTCTTCGCATGAATATTTGTCATATTTTGTTCCGAGTTTTTTCCCCATCGTCCAATTCGTAGACAACTTTTGAGTTTAAGTAATGTGAATACATGGAGGAGCTTGACACGAGATTTATAATAATAATGTCATGTGAAAAGTGATGAACTCATCAACGCGCGTCTGCATATCTCCTTATTCACTTCACATCCACTCACACTCGCTCCAACTGGAAATTGCACACGTTCATGCTGATGATATTTAACAAAGTTTACACACAATGATAACTGTTTTGATATTGGTAATATTTTGAGGAAAATTACTGCTGCTCGTGTTCACACCACTGTTGGAATTGTTTTATTCACACACTTATGATTTGTGCCCATATATATAGCTCATTATTATAATTGTTAGCTCATTCGTGCTTTTCTATTCAAAATTATATTCCAAGTTGTTGGTAGGGTAAATAGTTTTATTTTGAATTCTTACTTCACATTTATCCAGTAAATATTCTTAGCTAATCTCACCTGTTAAGTTGGTTTTAATTTCAATTTTGAACCCTCCTGATAGTTTGTAGGTACGAACAGGAAAGTTACGAATGCTGATTTGTAACTCAAGATAACTCACTTCATATTGATTGCTGTGATGTTTTACTTTCTGATAGGTCTGTAGTTGCATGAGTGTTTGTTGGTAATGATACTTTCAGTGGATATTTCCCTTCTCGTTGTTTCAATGACTTGTTCTTTTCCCTCCATTTCTTCATCAGCTAAGATGGATAAATCAGGAGGAAATATTTGTGATCAGTTTAAACCACAAGCAAGGTATCATGGTAATCCGTTTTGGACAACTCACATATGTATTATATTCTGTAAGATCACTGCCTTGTAAGATGCTGGAAATGAGTTTCCGAAATTCACCGGGTTAATTTTCGAAGGTCAAATCTATTCTCATATCACACTAATTCACATAATACATCTTGCTTTCAATGTGTTAGTGTTGTCAGTGAATGGGACGTTACAATATCAATATTAAGTGCACAACCGGATGGCTCTCCTTGCTATCACACCCCTAGCCTGTCATATGGTCTGATGGTGTTCTCGTGACTTTTGTTGCCAGATCTGCCAAGGGTGATGGGATAGTACGCGACCTAATTGTTGTGTGCAAGGTTTGAAGAAGGCTGTGTGCTATATGCTTGTGCCTCGCCCTGATAATGTTAGTGCGTCAGTGGTTTAGAGGTTAGGACGCTCGCCGACCATGCACATGGTCCGAGGTTCGATCTCCGGCCGAAGCACTCCTTTACCTCGCTAAGCTAGAAGTAATGAAGATAAAGAGGAAAGGTTGGGCATGAGTCTAGCAACTTCATCCTGTAAAATAAACACTGCTAGAGAAACTTCAAGCTACTAGCTTGAGGCCCTATGTTCCACTGGTAACGTGAAGGAAAACAAATCACACATCACATCTGTAGGGTGAAATGACGTGGATTCTGAAGTCTGTGACATTGTCTGATGTAATTGAGACTGCATTTCATGTAATTTAAACACTCCTGTAAATTGTCATATAAGATAGAGTTGTCAGTCCACCGATAATGAGGAAGTCGAAATTATTTGATTTCAACACATGATGAGAAATAATGAGCAGATGTAAGGTTTCTCAAGGTGTTTTGACTGTCTTCAAAGAGGTTGTATGACCAGCATTCGATTGAATGCTCATACAGACCGGCTGCTTAAACATCTGCTTAAGTCATCTACTTAAACACACTGAACCAAACCACAAGATATTTCACAGTATTCTGCATGATCACCTTTCACTATTTGATTCTGTGACATTGATTTTAAAAATAAAGGCATGATCATCCAAATTTCAGATATTCAGAAATTGAAGGATGCAGTAGAAGCTTCATATGTTGAAAGAAGGGTGTATGGCCTATACATCTGTAAGTGCAATCTGTTTTGTCCATGGGTTTTACACACTCCATTTATGTATTAATATCTAATCACAGAAACAAAGCACAAAAGATTCCGCTCATAAGCCTTTAGGATTACGTGAACATTGTTCGCTTGACAATGGTTATGTATTTATAACTGAAATCAGTAATACATTTGTCTTGAAATATCGAGGTTTCCAGACAACTGTGCATTAATTAGTAGCCGGCACAACATTGCTTGTATATAGGTGTATTCAGTGAAGAATGTCCACTGATCACAGAAACTAGCATAGGCTGAGAAGTACATTAAGGGATCAATGCTCAGACGGCAATCATCAGTATGCAAAGGCGAAAGTTAAGGTACACAGTGGCTGAAGCACATGCTCACTCAGAGTGGAAATGTTAGGAAGGAACCAGATCAGTATTCGTGTTTGCGCAAAATGTAGTAAAATTATGTGACAGAGATAAAAGGAATTTAGTAGCGGAGAAAATTCCCGATGTGTTCACGTGTGTGCTATTACGCGTCAGGTAGATAAATCAATACATTTGTGAAAATCAAAAGCAACAATGACAACGATGGTTTATCGTTATCGCAACGAAGGTTTTGGAATAACCGCTGCCTCCCAGTTTATTACCAGTGACTTACTTACACATGAGTGTTTCACAATAGAGGCAGTGTTGACAGATTGAGCAAGAAATGTCCTGCATCAAACATCTTCTAGACAAAGGAAATTATCCAATGCATTTATTACTCCAGGCTTTGTCAGATCCTGTCAAATGTAGGACAAGGAGTCTACGCATGAATAAAGCTGATGAATAAAGCTTGCTTTTTTGACTAATATGTCACTTTTACATTGCTCTTTTTTTCAAGTGCTCAGAAAAATTCAAAGACTGCCATCGAGAGGTTGGAAAGTAAGATTAACCTACTATCTAATACGAACTCCGCACATTTGATTCTTGAAAATCGACTGATGAGAGAAACTGACATCCTGCCTACATAGATAAATATGTTTAACTGAAATTTGTATGTTGAACAACAGAGACAGGGTTTGTGTGATCATCGCTGGATCACCAATTTACTCATGTCATATCATATCATCTGAAATCACATTTAGTATTTTGAAGGCAATCATGCAGTGTATCACAGACTTCACATTCAACAAAACCCAATCGACTACTTCTTCTCGAGTGAAGACCAGTTGTGGTCAAGTAGATTTGAACCACGTCAGAAATTCCCAATACACCATCATTCACACCCACAGCCACAGAGACACACGCACATTAGCGCGAATAAATGCGTTTAAGATATCTGAAATATGCGATTGGATGAAGTTGACTGCACTCACTGACTATCTGTCATTCTGGGTGAGGAATGACGTGTCTTCTTCAAGTCAAATTATTCACACCGATAGTGAATACTGGTCGATTCATTCGTGTTTCTCCCTTTACTCATAACATTCAGCGTTTCTTGCTCTTTCATGAAGTCAATAATGCTCACCATCTTTCATTTTTTCAACAGGAGCGGGAAGAGAAAACTAGAAGAGAATATGAATTTCTTCCTCACGCTAGACCGTGAAACGTGTCTTCTGGACATTATTGAAATGTACTGCTGTGCAGTGGATTTCATGAACACTTTTAATTAAATAATTCACTTTCTTTATAATGTTAACTGTCTGTCTTCTAAATACATTTTATTCACGCAAATATTTAACTTATTCCTACTGGTCAGATGGATTCGGTGTTCTCATTCTGAGTCATTAGCACACCAATCGAAGCTAACTTATTTACATTAAACCTGGATTTTATATAATTCAACTTTTCAATTCATCAGTTGGTGGGATTTTTAATTGACAACAGTATCATCGAGATCAGCCAAATTCACCTTATGTCATGAGGAGCGTCAGCGCTGCTCATTGGCCTCCTGGAAGGTTATATTTAATATGGAAGAATTGAAATTCCATGCATTTGAACACGATGTGATCGAATAGGCCACCATTCAACCTGATTTCGCCACCTCATCAATAGGAATGCAAACATTTGACAGTACTGATCTTAGCCGCATCATTGAGGTAGCATAGTGATGGATCGAATCGCTGATCCCAGTTGCGTCAGTTACGTATTCACTAATCTCCAGATTTCTGTAATTTAAAGTCATAACACTAACAGCAGGATGACGAGATAATATTTTCACTGATAGATATTGTCTGCATTGTGAAATAATCATCCTATTTTGAAATTCGAATAGGAAATGAGGAAAATCAGAGGGAGTGATTCAGCAAAGTGTCTCTTTTCAAACAGTTGATCATCAAGCCGCACCCTGTCATACATATATCTTACATGCATTCACATTTGGCTTATTTCATGAATAACACTACATTGCGATGTGGCCTAATTTGAGTCAAGCGTAAGAAACTTAGCTTCCCAGCAGTTTGTTTCCTCTCTTCGACGGTCATTTATTTGGTTTCAGCTCATTTCACCAAGCAAAGAGAAACTTCACACAAGATGCTACCTTTAGGTTTTCCTTGAATACTGTCAGGTCGCCTTGCAATGTACTACTGAACTACAATAAAAGGAGACACAGGATACCCACTCCCTGCAGACTTCTCTTAGTTGATGTCCGCGTTGCGCCCAACGAACATTCCGAAAAGTGCTTAGGGCAATCGCACTCTCCCCTCTACAAACCACACTAGGTCTTCGGATTCTAGCACTTTACTGGCCACCAAAATTCAACCAACAACATCAACCCATTTCGCCCGCATTTTGATTGCTAGTCTGCTGAAAATTCGTTCTAGATTTATGAGACAGTTCAGATAAGAAAAGCATCTGATGCTCTCCAGCATGATATGGGCGTAACGGAATCTTGAATCAAAATGAGGAAGAAAATTTCAGTCAAACTAACGGCTTCAGAACCTCTTATAATTTTTCCAGAACTTGAACGAGCATTTGCATATTCTTGTCCAAATGAATCATTCAGTATCTGCATGGCTATTTCATTACTGACGTCTGGAGGAAATGCTACACGTGCTTCAACAGCCTCTCTTGTCTTTCCACAATAAGATGTAGAAGATAAGTCAAACTCTTTTCCATCTCACGGCAATTAACTCTCAACTGCTTTTCAAAACTGGCTGGAAGACATTCAACATTCACTAGTATTGCCATCAAAGTGTTTAATTTCGTGAACATTAGCATGCACATATTACTAACAATGGCGCCCAGAGATTCCTTCAATTCTGACGCGAACTCGCCTCTCATCTCAGGCCTATAAGTGACTGCATTCTACCCCATTTGTGTTGTTGCCTTGTTTCCTGTGATTCGGTCATTGTGAAATGCAACTATTAATAACTGTAAATAACTGAATAATCTTGAGAAGTTTTCTGTCCACCATTCGTCGTGGGAAATCGCCAATTACCTGGAATGCTTGGATACCTGTTGTGTGTCGAATAAAGATCGTGATGTCAAACTTTCAGCTCATTTCATTATTGAGATTGGCCTGGATTCGTAACGTCTTCTGTAACTCTCGTGTTTCAATATGAATCAATTTATCTGCAAAATGATGAGCTCCGTCGACTCCTTATACATGAAATCTATGGCACTTCTTTTGAAACAAGAGAGACGTCTGAGTTCAAAAAACACGCTCCTGCCCACAAGTGATACATTCGAAATTTTATTCAACAGCTTCTGATACCAGCTTCAAGCGAGAATTTGTTGATAACATACGAACTGAACCACGCAATCGTCTAATTGAAATCATCATTCGGAAACTAGGTAAAGTGCTGGTTCTTATTCCTTCCTCCACTTTCCGAACTGCTAACGATTTATGTATTACATATGGCGAAGTCAACATTGAATACCCAGCTCACAACACACCAATGACTGATGTACTGCTGTCTGTGGTTGTAATGCAAGTCTTCATGAATCGAAATTCAATCTGTCATCGACAACTGATAGATTGCAAAAAAAGGCAAAAATATCGAACCATGTTTAGCATATGAGAGATTCATCCACGAAGCACTTGTCGTTTTCAAGATACGAGATTAGCCAAATGAAGTCTCCTTTCCGGAGTTCGAGCGCTTGCGTTTCTCAGATTTCGCATGATTCTCTCAATTTCAAGGTGATATGCAGTCAATTACTCTCCCAATATTCCACAGTATTCATTGTAGCCTGATGAAAACCTTTATCACAAGTTCAGGAAAGTTTCAGTGTCTCATGACTGATACTGAGAGTTCTGAGTCTATAATTTCTTTGAATGATTTAAACACGCTTCGTGAGTATGACTGAGTAAAACCCATATCCGGTTGAATTACAGCTGTTACTGGTCATCAACCTCTTATTGGTACTGCTATCATTGATTATATTGAAATTTTCCTTACCTAGACAACGAATACGCTCCACCATTTTTGTGATTTAAGGCTGCTAGTTTGCTAAATGTCCAAATGTCACTATGCCTGAGTTATTCAGCGAATCTTTGTTCCGAATTACTTCTCGAATGTTTAAAATATGTGGGGGGGGCAGGGAAATATTAATATATGTGTAAAACTTGGGCACTGTGGTATTAAGTAATTCCATATTAGTTTGATTATTAAATGTATCACACAGTGAAACAGTATTGTATACTGGATGACGTTTCGAACACAATTTATTGTTCATAATCATATCAATCAGGTTGTAAAGGTTGTAAAATGTCTCGCCAGCAGAGCAAGGAAGATATGTACGGATGACCTCTTAGAAAAGGAATTTGAATATATTCACGATTCCTTAACGGAGATGGGCTATCCGAGTAGTTTCATAAAGAAACATATGAAAACATCAGAGAAAAAAACCTGAGACTCTGACTGCACATAAGAAACCTCTATTTATTAAGTTACAATTTAATGGTGACTTATCACGTGATATTCTGTTCCAAAGACTTTCATGGAATATACGTAGAACATTTTTACGCAGCACACCTATGTTTGCCATTCTCTAGCCGACGAATGATTGGGATGCAAACGAAGGATAAGCTTGATAGTTTTGCCACATCTATGTGTATTTATCAATTCAACTGCACCTGCGGTGACAGTTATATTGGGCGTACTACTAGACAGCTTAGCCAACGTGTTAGTGAACATTTCCCATCGTGGTTTGGCAAAGGACAGACAAAAACAATCCGTAGCTCAATTCTGTCACATTTAATTGATAGTGGTCATGTAGTCGATAAAACGAAAGCCTTCAAAGTAATTCATCGTATCCCACCGAATCTTTCTAATAGACTTCGTATTCGTCCACTGCACACTGCTGACGCGATAGGCATTCGAACTACTAAACCTAAACTATGCATTCAAAAGAAGTTCGTACAGCCAGTATCCCTCCCGTGGCCTAATAAGACATAACCAACTAAAGATTTCTACACCACCCCTTATTTATATTTCCAACCCCTTTCTTATCATCCCTTAATCTTATCTTCATTATAAACGTGTTTCATTTCCTTCCCTTACATTCCAACATTACGTAATCGGTTCATTGCTTGTTTTTACTAGCCTTTATCGACTACTTCCACCTGAACATTTGTTTGATTGTTTAATCATACTGTTTTTCATTATTCGTGTTACCACAGATTGCCTCACTTTTTCATTCTTATTATTGATAAGACCATTATTAATATTATCATTACTACTATTATGACTGATTGCACAATTTATATTCACCATCGTATTATCCTATAGACAAAACACCATGATTGGTTCATATTTGAATTTTATTTGTAAACTTATGTAGTGATATTAGAGTTAAGCCTGATGAGATCTAATAGAAAACAACAATATGTTGTTCTAAAATTTAAGGGTTATTGTTACTGATTTGCTGAGATCCGAATGCACAAAACTCCAAGTGGTTTACTTATCATCCATAGAGGATCCTCATTTCTGTTGAGACTATGTTAAGCGGACTCAAGTTATTCTAAACTGGCTTTCCCTTCATACAATAAATGTCTCTTTGAGATGAGGGAGTGAAAAATCGTGTTTTTTTTCCAACAGTGTACACACGACATCAATAAACAGTATGCTTGAAAGATCAGCTTAGTGATAGGAAACAGGAATGACAGCTCAAGTATGTGAAATATTCAAACAATATGAAAATGCAATTCAACTGAAACAAGCATGTTTAGATTTAGAAGCATCTCAAATGTCCTTTATGAGCGGGATCGACCGTAACTTAAGCTATTATATTTTCATGAATTTGAAAGGCGCCAAGGATATGGGGCTGTGCAGTATGTAGAATAAAACCAACCAACATCTCTCCTGGTAAAGTTAACATCAGCAGGGTACTTATCTAGTTTTGATTGCCTTATAGAGCACGTAGTGCTGTATAGTGTTACCAGATTGGCTGCAAAGAAGTATCTCTTTATTGCTCCCTTTATCCTCTTTTAATCTGTTTCTCCTTTGTATGGGAGGCTTATAAACACTTTCTTCTTTTCAACTGTTGGAGACTTCTCTTTCTCATCTCTTTCTTTGCTGTACTTTAGGATAAATCCTTTTGGATACCCGTTTTCCTTAAGGCAAACATAAC